TTGATGAGCCAGTGAAAACCTTATCACAGAGTTTCAGTGAGCACGCCTCCTTGTTTATCATCCGGTACAATTGGTTGAAATGAATCAAACGCGATGTTCATGAGTTTGTCACCCATGCCGCGATGGTGTACCGCGAATGTGCACACTTCAAAGTTGGCACAATGACCGCTAATCAGTTCAAGAGCCTTATTTTTGTGTGCAGTCTGCAGGCCCATGCCGATGTTGATATTAGAACGCGCATTCTCCACAAGCTTGAACAGGAACCACGAGCTTGCATGAGACCACAGCCGAATGCCAACGGTTGATAAAACTGAAGCACGACACAAAAATGGTTGAGACGGCTGCTCACATGAGAGAACCCGAGATTTGTCGTACATCTATCAGTGGAAAAAGGAGGAACCGAAATGCGTCCAGTCAGCATCCCCCAGCCGCATGCAGGTACCGTGGCGTGTGGTTTTTTACAAGAGACTGCATGCACAAAAGCCATCAATGTCAGAAGTGTAAGCGGTTTCGCCAGGAAGAAACCCACTGTCGTTTTATGCACAGCTTCAGACGCACGTTTCACCCAAGATTGCACACAGACTCCAACTGTAGAAGGATCAAGTTTCACGGACCAAGGACCAAGCTAACTCTGGCAGCATTTTGCACGGGTTTTTCAGGTCAGAGAAAGTAAATAACAGGGAAGCTCAATGACATCCCCGTAACGTTGTAGCTAGATACGGCGTCCGACATCACTATCATTTCGCGCTCGACATGGACGAAGCTTGGTAGACCACCTATCAAGTGCACAACTCCGACGGCTCAAAATGCGGTCAGGGAACCGCTGAGGTTGGATGGGGAAATTGAGGGTAAAGTAAACTTCAATGATATGTACCTCGGTAGCACGATTCACTTGGTTTCATACATCGACATTAATCTTTTGGGAATAGGTTGGATTAAGAAACTGAACTTGCTCCGTTTACCACTGAATCACTTTTGCTTGGAAAGGATTGTCATTGTGCATCATACGGCAGTACCGACGCACCCAGGCCATGCACCTCTGAACAGCTCCAAGCAAAGTATACTTGTGTCTTCCAGCCGAATATTGGCCACTGCAGGAAAATGCAAGCAAACTTACTCTGCTTCCGGATGCAAGGACAGTGTTTCGACCTAAGTGTCCAGTCCCTTATGCATCCCAAACAACTGTTGCACAGGAGCTTGATTGCTTGCAGCAGGCCGGCGTGATCAAGTGAGTCAATTTCTCTCCATGGGCTGCCCCTATTGTTGTGATAACGAAACCGATTCGCTTGTGTGCAGAATTTTCCATGGGCCTGAATGCTGCACTAGAACCTCACCAGTACCCGCTCCCAATTCCGGAAGACGTATCCGCGAAGTTGAACGGGAGCTACCCTTAATCTTGCAGACGCCTATTTGCAGCTTGAAGTTGCACCCAAAAGCAGGAAAGGTTTGACAATCAACACGCATCGCGGTTTCTACCAGTACAATCGTTTGCCACTTGGAGTCAAAACCGCACCCGAAATTTTTCAGCAAGTCATGCATGCAATGCTGTCCGAGCTAGCTGGAGCTGCAGCCTACCTCGATGGTATGAGCATAATGGGAGGAACGCATGATGAATTATTTCACCGATTGGATGACGTGTTGCCTAGAATCAAGGATTAAGGATACCTTTTAGGAGCGGACAGATGCAGAATTTTTTCTAAAATCCATCAAGTTTCTGGGTCTCATGATTAACGAGAACGACCGGCGACCCGATCGCGAAAATATCGAGGTGATAGACAGATTATTTGCAACAACGGATGTCACAACCATATGATCGTTCCTCGAAATGCTGAGCCACTACAGTGAATTTCTACCGTGTGTGCATCGTTTACCTCATCCCCTAAATCATCTGCTGTTGAAGGATGTCGTTTGGAAATGATCCGCAGGGGTGCCAAAAGGCGTTCCAGAAACTGGAATCGCTGCAGAAATCAGATCTACGACTTACACATTATAATCCGCATCCGGATATTATCGTGACCACGGATGCTTCAAGCTACGGAGTTAGTGCTATCATTTCACCTTGGTTTCCAGACGGATCCGAAAACGCAGTGGCACACGCTGCACGAGCATTGACCGCATCCGAGAGCTACGGACAGATTGAGAAGGAAGCGTTGACTACCATCTTTTGCGTTCAGAAATTTCACAAGAAGGTACACAGTGGACACCTCACGCTAGTGACTGAGCACAGTTCGTTCCTGGCAATTCTTGGATCCAAAAGGGGTATTCCAGCTTATACGACCCGTCGACTTCAGAGATTGGCGAATCTGCACTTGCGATATTTGTCAACTGATTTTATTGGGCTAGCGAACGCCTTATTCAAATTAATCGACACTGGTAGGGGTGAGCCGGAATGTGCAGTCACTGTTTCAATCGCCGCCGAAACAGATGTCAGCTACCTGGTACATGACGCCGTAAGTAACTTGCCGGTAAACGGGATGATGTTTAAGCAAACCACGAAACAGAATGCGTCGTTGCAGAAAGTAGTAAACTATACCAGACAGTGTTGGTCAAGGAAGTGTTCAAAAGAAGCTCTTATGCAGTCTTTTATACGGCGCGACTCCTTGTCTCAAAATGACTCCTGCCTGTTTTTCGCAGACCGTGTGATCATTCCTGAAGTACTCAGACACTGCGTGCTAAGGCAATTGCAAAATAGCTATCCGGGAATTGCCCGCATGAAGGCGCTCGCGTGCAGCTACGTCTTATGGCCCATGATGGATAGTCATATTGAACAGATTGGTCGACCCTGTTCAAATTTCCTGTACGTACGACTTTGCAGTCTTGGCCCAATCCAGAAGCACCTTGTCACGGATTCAAGTGGATTTCGGAGGACAGGTCAAAGGAATTTCCTTCCTGATTATTGTTGTTGCCTACAGTAAGCGGTCGGAAATACTCGTAATACGAAACACGTCCGTAAACAGCACAAACTTTGAGATGCGACATGCTTTCAGTCAGCACGGACTAACAGAAACAATTGTGCCGGATAACGGGTAACAGTTTACAACATGTCAAGTTGCTGAGTTTTATGCACATAATGGAATCGGGCATATGAGAACTGCACCGTATCATCCGAAATCAAATGGTCAAGCGGAAAGATTTGTCGGTACTCTGAAACGAGCATTGCTAAAGTCAAAAGAGGAGGGGGACGTTGGAAGAGAGATTGAAATGGTTTCTGTTGAATAAGCGAGTTCCCCCAAAACCCAACTCGCCAGATGGAAAGTCACCAGCTGAAGGCCTTATGGGTCGAAGATTAAGAACCACGCTGGATCTGCTGACTCCCAAGCATTCAAATCTACGACTAAGGAATTCAGTCATGGAACGGCAATACAACAGACGGTTTGGGGCAAGGAGAAGAAATTTCAAAGTAGGCGAACTCGGATTTGCGGCCTCTACACAGGGACGGCGGATCACTTGGATGCCAGGGCGAGTCGTGCAGCGTCGAGGCATGGTAGGGCACAATATTCCAGTTAGCAAGCAGTTATGGTGATGCCATACGAATTAACTGAGGCCACGGTATACACGAGGTTCTGCCGTTCCGAAAGCCAACGGATTAGGTGTCAATATACGTCTGGACAGTGGCACGCCTAGAACTCTAAGACGTATAATTCAACCCATGGAATGCTCAGATACTGACGTACGGCACAGGCCGAAACGAATCAGAAAATTTGTGCGGTCTTTTCAAGTGGATCCCCGTCAGAAAAACTACACAACCGGTAACTAATTGATAAGAGGGAGTATAAGGAGGACGCTTATTGGAAATACACTTTTTGCAAATCATCCGTAGTTATCGATTTGTTTCCTTCCGCTATCGCTGTTACCGACAGTTGTTTCAACAAATCATTCCGCTACTTGCATTGGCTGCTTGTGGTCACTGTTTCTGCCCTTAAATCACAGTTCCACTTGGCTGCTAATACTGTCTCGTTTCGTTCGTTGCGTGCCTTTCATTGTTTCCTTTATTGATCACTCTTCATGTCTTGCATGTCTTCAGCAATACGGTTGGCTCGAATGTCTTTTAGTAGCTACCCTTCAGTCCATGCTGAAAACTATATAAACAGACATGATTTAATGCATACAATTGCAAAATTTCGGTGCATAGGTACAACCGTATCAATCGCATGAATATAGGTGATTGTAGTGCGAGTCAAGTGCAGTGTTTGGGTACTCCACTATGGGCTTTAGGCTTGCACGTACGAATAACACCATTTCCGGTTATTTCCGGTGATTTCTCTGAAAAAGAAATGGTAAATGTACAGTAGTTAAAAAACAATATCGCACACCATAGCTCGCAGACGCTCGCCTCGCTGTTTGACGATATGATATGACTTGAAATTATCTATTGTAAAGCATCGTCATAAACAGGATGTCTGTCAAGCAGATATAGTAAGATCACCCTAAGCTGACTACACAAGAGACTGAATCAAAGGGACCAACATAGAGAGGTGGTCAAAATATGTAGATCCTATAGCAAAACTACATACTTCTTTTACCGATCTGAGTAATAAAGCATAAAAGTTATTTTCACCCACATCCTGTCTCGCATATGGTAGATGAGCTCTGACACAATGACAAACAATTAAATCATGCAAGATCATAATAGATCAAAAGACAGTGTGACTTACTAAAAGTAAAACCATTTTTAGATAATGAACGGTCCATCTATGACGAAATGTCTACTTAGAGAGGTGGTCACGATGGAGAGGGGAACAACTTTGGATGTTTTACCGTTTAAGAAATTAGCAAACACTTTAAGCCTTTGCCTCAAACTAGAAAGCCCAGTGCAATCACACCTGAAAAGAAGTTAGTTACTGATTGCCAGATTCGAGATTAGCAACGTATTACTCTTAGCTGCAGCAGCATCTGAGGTGCTCTGGTAGTTAAATGATGCAACCAGGTTAAACAACGGCGTCCTGATTTCATAATTGAAATGCAATTTCAAAAAGGTAGTAAGGTGAAGTCATCTAGTTCCAGGAATTCTTTAAAGACTACTTTCTGGCAGATAACTGACCGTTGTTACTTTGATTTTACCATCAACTCACAACCTAGATATCTTCATCTAGCAACCGCTGGGTGATGGTCGGGCCGATCCGCTCATGTTGCACCCCACAATACTTCGCGCGTGGACAATTAGTCGAAGATCCTGGCCGAGAATTCGTCATCATTCTGTTCATAAGGTGGTTCCCTACTGATGAAACAAACAAGAGACTAGTAATCATCGCACAGCGTGACAGTCCCATGCTGAAATTGTATTATACGCGGATGGGAAAGGGCAGTAAAACGGTAAACCTAAAACAGCGAACTGAAAAATAGGCTAGCGCTTGTATATAAATGTTAAAGGTGGCCTGTTCGCATCCCTGCAAGAAAGCCGGCGTCCTCACCCTTTCTCCTCATCTACCGAGTTGATATTTGTAAAGCACAATCCCATTCTTTAACCAATCTTCCCACCAAAACCAATCCACTACCTCACCAACCCTAACACTATTTTCTCTGGCCGGGGAAAATGTCTATCCTGACAGAAGGTGCTGAAGACTGACTGCTTAATCGAAACGCTCGTTAACCTATAAACCTACACATCACAATGTAAGCCAAAAGGATAGAGACAATGGAACTGATGATACAGGGCTTGCCGAGAGGCGAAAGCCCGAATGAGGAAGAATATTCGAAGGGGCGCTGGATACATATAATGCACGAGTTCTAACGCAACAGCATTATTAGATAGGCAAGAACTAAGCTAATTCGCAATATCCAGATACCTGAATGAACGTATAATTGATTAGCTGACAAGCACCAATGCGACGTTGACACCACTTTACTCACGCCTCGGATGCAGTAGGTCTATCAGATTTATAGCGAGCTTTATCCACCATGCGTAACCATACGGTGTGAATAGTCAGCTTCGTTCTGAATTGACCTTCGGAATACAGAGGAGTGATTGACTTGTCGCACAGAGCAATTCTGAGTGAAACATCGGGGGAATGACATGGTATGATTGTTATCATTTTACCCCATTTGAAGGGTGAGCGTTTGGTCTCACTCTGTGTTACAAATGGTCAGCTGGTCACGAGCATAGGTTACTAGCTGGAAAGACCCAGTGTCCGCGTTCATCTGCTTGCTCATCACATCGCGTGCTAACGGGAACACCAGGCGCAAGCGTAGCACGCACAGTGCATGGAAATATGCGAAGAAATTTTGATGAAATACCATACATTAATACCCAAAAATACCTGTTCAAATTCGTGTACCGCTCTGTGGACGTAAACCAGTGAAAACACAATGTAACTTCCCACAGAAATATTGGTAACAGCGTTGACTTTAGCTTTTGGTTGAGGCAATACAAAACAGCGTTCAATACATCTATTAGTTCAGCGGTAGTGAGCAGCATCGGTGTTGGAAAAGCTACACTACTTCAGGTATGTTTAGGTAAATGTTCATAACTGTCGCATTGGTTTTGTTGTGATCATCTGCAAACGCTTGTTATTACGTATCATTTCGTAACCCCATCACCTATTTACTACCGTTATTTCTAGATGTGCATTATACTTCCCATCTGAGGATTACTCTATCACCTTCATTTCCTTGCGTGAATCTGACTGGGTCCTTATTTGTTCCGTCCCTATTGGCTGTGTCTGCACGCTTTCTGTGCTCTGGTTGGTTTTTGCACGTACATATCATGTTAGATAACAGCGTCGTTCCGCTGTAGAAAAATTTTTATTCTTCCTTCTACCTTTGCTTCTTCTCACCAACGTTTATAGATGGAAGCAGTCGCAGAGATTACTACATATTCTGGCTACGAAGATGCTAAACAACCATGAAGCTATTGATTCGAGCAGATTCAGTTCATCTTTCAGTAGCAAGATACGCAGTTCAAATATTCACATCGGCAGTTAATTTGGCTCCTGTCACAAAAGCTGAACATTCAAGTGGAATATTCGAGACCAGTTGCATGACCTACTGTGGACTTCGTCGCATCATCGATTTTGGAGTTGGTATATGACGAATTGATGGGCGTCAAAGTAAATGGCATTTTCGAAATTGTGCCGAGACAAAAATATTGTGGTGTTTCCAAGTACAACGACCATAAATGATCGGAAAACGTGTAACGGTGATGCAAATGGCAATTCAGTTTTATAACAGGGTGTAATCCTAACTGTCGTACTACTATCATATCTGATTCTGCAACGGAATTATTTATCGGGATTGGTAGACCCATTGAGAATATGAAATTCAGAAGCTTAAGATACTTCTGGGAAATATGAAAGTGGGTAGCACATAGGTATACTCTATGTATAACTTTTGTTATAACATTATGTTGGTTGCTTTGCTCAAGCTTAGTTATTAATATCGAAAAAGGAAACGCAAGAGTAGACGAAGACAAGAGTAATGGGAACATCGACGATAGAGGGGAATGTAGAGGTGTGTTCAGTTGGTTTTCTTCTCTAATACATACTTGCTGATGATAACCTTGGTGTTAACGTAGCGGTGTGTAGCAGCCTGGAGAATTCCCCGAATTGTCTGAGTATGTCGTGTAAAGTACTACATAAAAGTATCGTCTCATTGTACACTTAGAGGTTGCTTGCAGAATGCTATTATGTACGTTAAATTTGATTGTCTGATCCAACGCACATCCAATACACACACACGCAGTGCCACAGTTGGATTTAGCACGCCGCTCAATCGCGCGGTCCCTTGCATCCTTTCCTAGCTAGCTCGCCTCGTTCGGGGTCGTATTTTTAGTCAATACACGGGATCAGTTTATAACACCATACACTTTCGTCCCGTCACTACCGTGCCTTCACTCACTGGGAACGGTACTCGCCGGTAGGCGGTCTCGAACATTTCAAGCCTGTTAACGTGAGCCGGCTAATCAGGCTACATTGGTGACCCTGATCAAGATCATTCTAGTCACTATATTAGTGACCCAAACCTCAATCAATTTCCCACTATATTGGAGACTTATTGGAATTATCTTCGCATTCATCCGTGAGTCTGTTCCAATTTCTTCTGGTTTGTTCCTAACACATTTTATTCACTTTCATTAAGTGATTATTTTTTCTGAGTTATAGTCTCAGTTTCTAAGTATAGTGAACGAACTACTCATTCAGTCACTGGTAATTTCTCCGTTTATAGAAATAGTCACTGATGTATGCTTAATGACTTTAGATGCAACATTTGCTAATAAATGTGCCACACGCGATTTAAATAACTCAGACAAGTTACTAACTCGTCTTTCCAGAGGTTCACCGTCTAGCATTGCGATATAATTGTGAGTGCTGATCCAACTAACCGTACACTTTCAAATTTGTCTATAGTCTGCATCAACTCTTTTTCGATTTGCAGTTAGGAAGCAAGAAAACGTCGACACCCTTACCAGAAATGCGTCTTCTCTTAAGGGTTTTAAACACAGACGAATCATTGCTCCAGGAAATTTGGCTGCAACGTTCACATGAACAAGTGCGGGCTGTTTTGTGCCTCAACAAGTCTAAACGGTTATCAGCTAATACCGAAATCGCAGACAACATACTGAAGATGCGTTACATTGAGTCAGTTTGCACTTCCTCTAGCATTGCCCGGCCAGCTGACGCACCTCACAGGGTGCAAACCGTAGCTTCAGTGAATGATAGCAAAACCGCTTGCCTTTAACGGAGGCCCGTGTAGGCGAAACAGCCTCAGCAAACAAGAAGTTTAACCTTTGAGCCTGAACTAGCAGCAGCGAAGGGCTACACACCGTTCGCGTAGTTGCGTTCGCAGTAACACACGATTCTCTATCTGCCGTTCACACTCATGTTTCGGCAACACTGTTAAAATTTTCACTAAACCATACACATTCACATCGATGACACTCAAACCGAACAAATCCTTGACAAACGTCGTCAGATGCACAGCATGAAAAAGAACAACGATAACGGTCAACAGATAACAACCGACAGTCATTTGGAATAAGCTGAGTGACAAAATACTAGCGACTGACGTCGGTAACGAAAATGCCGCAAGTCGCCTATTCAAGATAGCCGGTCAAATTTTTTGGATCATGTTCCTAGTCGACACTGGGGAGGAAAGCGTGATTCCACCACGCGCAAACAAATCGGCCAACAGACGCACAGAAAATCAACGGAACACCCATAGCAATTTTTGGTCAGCTTTCCTTCACCATCGATCTTGGCCTTAGCTGTAAATTCCGTTGGATTGTTGTACAATTCACTCTCCTCGGAATCGACTTCTTGCAACCTTTCGATCCTATGGCCAATATCCGTCAGTGAAAACAAGTCGACCAACGTCTTTCCATTTTCGGAGTCTAGACTACTTCCGAAACTGTCAAATACCCCCAGTCACAGGGGGGGTGTTAGTGCAGTATCCATAGTTGATTCGCCTTTCTAACGTCATTCGTCCAGTAGCAACCAACGTAATACGCCACATACGAAACCGTGGTCCACCAGTCTCGGTCCAACCCCGATGTTTTTCCCCTAATAAATTGTAGATGGCCAAAGCGGAATTCGAACATCGAACATGGTATAATCCGCCATTCCGAAAGTCAGTGGACTTCGACGTTTCACATAGTGCCGAAGAAGACTGGTAATCGTGTGGCGAGTATCGGGCACTGAATAAGTTCACCTGCACTGACAAGTAGCCTAGTCCGTATATTCAAGATCATAATAGCAGTTTAAGCGGTAATATCGTGTTTGGTAAATCCATTTAACGAGAGCCGATGAGGAATGCGATATTCCGAAAACCGCCGTCATCACACTTCTTGGTCTATTCGAATTTCCGCGGATCCTTTATGGCCTGAGAAATGCCGCATAAATCTTCCAAAGGTCCACACATAACGTTAAATGCGGCCAAGATTTCGTGTATCCTTAGTTGGACAACGTTTTCGTAGCAATTGCTTCAAAACCAGAAAATCTGGAGCACCTGCAACTGCTGTTTCAACACCTGTGCAACCGTGGAATTACCGTTAACCCGCTAAGTGCGGACCACGCAAACCGTCGGTCGGTTTTTTGGGTCATCCGATCTCTGCACACGGTATCGAGGCCTTTCCCGATAAAGAGGACGCAATCAAAGATTTCGCTGAGCTGTCATCTTCCAAACAACACAGTCGCTTTCTCAGTGTAGTTAACTACTAACGCCGTTTCATCCATTAATGCGCAAAGATGATGCAGCCTCTAAATGACTTGTTTTGTTGCAGTCAGCGTACTTTCATTTCCAGTGATACTGCTTGATCATCTTTCACAGAACTTAAAAAGAGCCGTAGTGAGCACTGCTAATTTCACGCATCCACAGCCGGATTCTCCCCCTTCTCTGCTAACGAACGCCTCGGATGTAACGGTGGGAGCCGTTTTTCAGCAGTTAGTCAAGGGGTCTTAGCAAGAGTTAGTTTTATTTGCAAAAGCATTGCAACTAGCCGAAAGCCGTTACAGCCCCTGCGAGAAAGAAATTATCGACGTTTGGTTTAATCATTTGATACTTTCGACCTTCACCGAGTAAACCTTTAGTCTAGGGCTCATTCACCAATAAATGCACTCCCAGAGAGATACGTCACATAGACTGTCTCACAGCTCACGTCAGATTTGTGGCACGTCTCAAGTGCGCAAAACTTTGTCGCAAACGCATTATCCCGAGTTAATTCCATTACACCTGGTCAGCACATCAACCTAGTAGCAATGATCGCTTCACCAGACAGATCCGGAGATGGATCAAATTCGCATGTCCAGTTACCTCCGGACACGAGCAGTTCCGTTGCCCATCTCAGAAGGAACAATCATTCGCAATGTCTCACAATTACCCGCGTCCTATGGTTACATACATTTTCGCCGTACTGTCTTTGACACACTGCACAATTTACCACATGCAGGCATTCGCGATCGATCAAGCTCCTCACGCAGCGTTTCCTGTGCTTCAAAGTCAACCGACGACAAACCAAATAAAAAGTAATGAATTTTATCCACCAAAATCATAGTCACCAAATAAAGGTGGATGATCGTCCCACACTCAACGGATAAACCAACATTCCAAATGTGTCCCAACTCGATTGCACTCAAACAACTTCAAACAATCTATCAACATTGATTACGAAATGAAACATGCTGTCGGGGGTGGCTCATACTATACCACTCTAAATGAACACATGTGGGAATAAGAATGTCACCATAACTGTACCACTAACCAATCCTCGGTTAATCGGTCTGAGCTCAATTACATTGTCAACGGGACTGATTCGTCATGCGCATGATCATCAGTACACATTAACTAAAGGTGAGAAACACACTTCAACTATGGTGCCGTAGCATAACTACAAAAGCATGTGAAAAACATGATTCTACACATATTAGAATACGAAGGCAACATTAAGTACAATGCTAACTGGCATATTATGCTTCAAGCTAAAGATATGATTCGGAAGTAGAACATGAGTGGAATGACGTAGGACAACGAACTATTAACACAATCGTCATTGAGGTCGGCTCTTCAGCATGTCAACAGTGTATCCAAATGATTGCCCCAGGTGGTTGGGGGTACAGGCTAAGATCATACATATAAAGACTAGGTGTCACATCAAACAAACATTTGAAGTCGGGCGTCTCACTCAGCTTTGCACTTACTCAAGTGGATCGCGGTTACGTGCCGTTGGAGGGGACCCTTCAGTGCAAAAGATTTGTCGCAGTACTCACAGATGTGTGCCTTTTGCTCTGAAACAAATAACAAGACCGTAGCCTCAACACAACACGAATTAATACACGAAGGTAGGGTGGCATAAGTAATGGTTTAACGAAAACGCAAACGTCTTTAGATACAATGACTGAATAATCGTTGAGTAGCCGGCAACGAATATCTACCGCGGTATCTGTTTCCTTCATCCTCATTCTCACATATAAAACACCGCTTCATATGACGTTTTCCACCAATCTGCATGACAATGCGAACGTGAGTGGAAGTCAAATATTGTTTACGACTTGCTACACCGCAGTGGGTGCATTTAAATGTGCATAAATGGAATTGCTAGAGACCGCAGTTAAGTCTGTCTCATGGTTCAACTGCGAAATGTGGCCAACTATCAGATGATATAGTTTAACCTCAAAGGTTGGTCTAAATCCCTGCCACCCTATCGGTAACACACCAAAAATACAGCGTTGCTCGCAGATCCGTGGCATAAGCCATCAACTGCTATGTCCCGCATTTCACTCCCAGCACAGACTACCTCCATGGTTGAAACCTGGACAGTGCTGATCTACTGCAAATCAAATGTTCCAATTTCAACGTCAGACCAAATATCAAAAGCGACTGCTTAGTTAAGAATTCTTATTGGCACTTGGGATCGGAGTTCAGATCATGAACCGTATGGCAAAAGCCCGAAGTGCTTTTGTTGTCTTCGCCACCTACGGCAGCGGCAAGACATCACTTTCGCCCTGAAGGGTAGAGTGTACCATGCAGCAGTACGATCGCTACGTACGGCTGCGAAACCTGGCCACTTGCATTAGCAGACATAAAGAGACTGGTTACCTTGGAACATCGGTGCCTTCGCAGTTTGGCTCACATCTAGTGCGAACACGGCGTGAGCAACGAGCGTGTTCGACGCGCTGTTTATGGCACAGAAATAGGTACTGAACCGCTCAGCACTGTTATTTCACGCACTAGGCTTCGATGGCTCCGCCACGTATTGCGCACGCCAGCCCACCGACTCCCACAACGTGCGTTGATTGTTCACCGGGGGTGTGGATGGAAGAAGAGGAGGGGTGGCCAACGGATGACTAGGACGAGAGGAATGAAGGCCTTCGCATCGGAGCTGGCCTCGGTTGGAGCTTCACACCTCCCTGGTTGGGGTCTAAAAGACAATGAACACGTTTGGCTAGATACACTTGCTGACATGGCTAGGAGCCGACTTCAGGGGCATTCGAGCTGAGAGCTTCGTTGTCCATCCCAATCCCTTTTAGCCTCCTCCTCCAACCACGATTTCACTAATAAGTCTTTTATAATTTTGCATAGTAATTTTTTCTGCTGCATAGTAGCCGGCAGGTAGCTTACCGGAACTATGCCCATCCGTTACCGGTAGCTCAGCTGGCTTACACCTCTTACATTGTATTCCCTTGTTTCTTTTTGTATTGGGGCACAGTAGTTGAGGTGTTTTCCACCTCTAAGTAACATGTATAGTGTGCGTATGCGTGTGTGAGAGTGTGTATGTGTGGAGGGCCGGATCGCCAACTAAAGTAAAAGCGCGGGCCGCATTACCCTTTAGTGCTGATCTCGCAGGCCAAAATAAAATTCTGAAACAAAACATGAAACAACTAATCTCAGCATTCCGTGTTAAACATGGTTGAGCAACATATATATAAACTGAGAAATTGTTCATAGAAGTGGCGTACGCAAAAGATTCGTTACATCTGGACTGCACAAAGTAGGCGGGGAAAGGATTGGTAATATTTGTGAAGCAAGAGTTTGGCTTTCCAATTATCAGCCTTTCACAGATGTGCGTGCAAATGTCCATCAGTTAGTCTGGTTCTCTGAATTTACTTCAAAAGCTTCATTTTTGAGTTGTTTGCTTACAGACCTAAGTTGTTCTTTAGTTCTGGAAGTACAGTATTTGAAGACCAGAGGCGAAATCCAAAAACTTTTCCTTCCATGTGCCTCCGTTTCTAAAACTCACTTCTCTGCAAATCATTTGGCTTAAAGAGTTGGCCTCATCCTCATTCTCACATATAAAACACCGATTCATATGACGTTTTCCACCAATCTGCATGACAATGCGAACGTGAGTGGAAGTCAAGTATTGTTTACGGCTTGCTACACCGCAGTGGGTGCAGTTAAATGTGCATAAATGGAAATGCTAGAGACCGCAGTTGAGTCTGTCTTATGGTTCAACTGCGAAATGTGGCCAACTATCAGATGATATAGTTTAACCTCAAAGGTTGGTCTAAATCCCTGCCACCCTATCGGTAACACACCAAAAATACAGCGTTGCTCGCAGATCCGTGGCATAAGCCATCAACTGCTATGTCCCGCATTTCACTCCCAGCACAGACTACCTCCATGGTTGAAACCTGGACAGTGCTGATCTACTGCAAAACAAATGTTCCAATTTCAACGTCAGATCTAATGTCAAAAACGAGTGCTGAGTTGCGAATAACTATCGGCCAACCCAGCAATCCTTGATTGTTTTTCTGATGAGAACAAACATGCACGAAGGAAATCGCGGAGTACAGTCGTGAGAGCGGGCAGCACCAGAGACTCAGCAAGTATACATGCTGTCCACGCACCATACACAGTCGTTAGCAAAGAAAGCTTTCCCGCTGACCGTGAGCGTCCAGCACCGCCAGAACGGAGCAGGAAACCATCGTAGTTACGTCGTACACAAGAAATAGTTAATTCTTGAAACCAGCAGCAATAATGAATGCGCGCGTCGAAAAAGACAACCCCTCCGAATCACAAATCTGACTGTCTTCTTCTCGTTTCCAATTACTATTTCCTCCTAGATATCAAGACAAGAATACGATCAACCATTCTCTACAACTCACCCACTTCAAACCACAAGCTAAACCAGTAAGGAAACTGGACGATGACAGGTGACTTTTGACCAGTAATGAAAACAAGGCAGTGGCAATTATGAGTCACTTTCCTCGATATCTTACATTTCATGCTCTGTGGGATGGAAATCATTATCTGCAAACAGTCCATCTGAACATGAGTCTATCTCAACTTCCGCATTCATCTCTTGAGCTGTTAATACTCTACGGGAATGCCACACTAAAGTGTTATTCCGAATTTCCACACGATGAGAGCGTTCACGAATGGTTCGTCTTTATACCAGCACGCCAAAGGTTCAATAAGGTGGTATATAACAGTGCTCTCATTCCCGGAACACCCGCTAACATTTATACTCACCCATCAATTCACATTCATGCGATTTGCGCTAACATAAGTACTGAGTGGTGGAGAGCACAGAATTGCCCTGGAGCTGGAGTTGGTGTTACGAGGAATACATCTACGATGACAAGGTGAAAAGGGATAAACTAAATTAACCACATTCATTCGGGGTCACACCAAGAGCCATCGAGGGAAAACTGGGTTACGCTCAGGAAGCCGTATTGTCTATGCCAGACGCCTAACCGTGCTCGTATGACGCACGGAAATAACACACAAAACACGATGAGACATTCAGCTGAACTTGACCTGACGATCGGCGGCCGAGGGCTAGCCGACTATAAGTCGATGCTTACCCGCATAACGTCCAACAGTCATCATTGCCGCAACACCAGCACATAGAAAGGAAGCTCTCTGTGTTAAATAAGCGCACTATGTTTGTAAAAGTAGGTTGACGTGTTCCTTATACACTAGCCGTTACTCTCCGAAATGCGTCTGCGTCAATCGACCGGAAATAAAAGTACATAACAGTACGCCGAACGTACTTGGTTCTGTCTTAAGTGTACGACGGTTCCACTTATTAAAGGTGTACCAGCATTAGCACAGTGGTGCAACCGTCCATAGCTTTACACAGTTATTTGCATCCATAACGTTTTCAAACACATCCATCAGGAAATCGGGTTCATTAAACATGATACTACGGGGACGGACGCCCCAAATCGCGCGCCACTCCTCGAGTGACCAGCACTAATCAAACCAATAGCATATCAGACGAGTTTACGACATGGGATATCAGAGAACGCCTGGGTGTGGCATAGCTCGCGTACGATTTGACGGGTGCCTAGTCACGCTCCACACTCGTATTCAGGCATGAATTCATATACTGAAGCGAAGCGCATGCTAGGGGCGTACTCGAAAAACCCAAGTGGCGCCAACTGAGCTTAGCAGTCACGCGTGATCATGGTGGTTGACATGTAACCGATCAGGCATTTATGTCAAACTTGATGGTGCTTTGTGTCCGCGCACCTTATGGCTGGGCCGTCCATATACTGCTAGGCACCTACATAACTGAGTCCGAATGAATTGACCGTGGGGAATAATGACATGATGTCGATCACACATACCGTCGTCGAGGCTCGGCTGGCATGGAATTCGGGCTAGTGGCGTCAGAAGGGTCACGTGAGCGTGTGGACCGCGGTGCGTTTCGGGGTGCAGCATGCTCACTGAACGCAATGCTGAAAGGTCTGTGTTTGATGGAGGTAGCGTTTCGAATCAGGATAAGTACGCGCGTACTGCATATTGGCAGTCTGACGGTGGTTGGATGACGTGCTTGATAGGGCGCCCGAGGTATCACTCACCTAGTGTGTTTATTACGCCGTTGTTCGACTGAGCATCTTCGTGGGGAAAATTTCATACCGTCGCTTCATGGTTCCCCTTGCGGTTGCTAAGATATGTAAGTACCTGAGTGTGCCACCCAACCATATTTAAACATGATTAGTGTTGTTACGAAGCAGGCCGAATGCGGCAGATCCTCCCAGTGACGACACACACGAGCAGCCGATATATCTCCGCAACACGCCGGGCGGTTTTACTTGTATGCCAGTTTCCAGGAATGATCTCATCTAGGTGTTATTACTAACCTGCAGTAAAGAGCAATGCACATGAGTTGGGTCGCTCAGAACAATGTTATCATTGACAGATTTTTAGGTAATCAACGATACCCATGTTTCCGCCTCTTCCCATGTGGCACATTACGCGTTCCAATGAGGCAAATGAAACCTGTCGTTGAGTTTACTTCAGGATACTGACATCATGCGTCAGTTTTTGATGCCTT